TAAATGGATGGCCCTTTGCCAAACGTTCTTCCAAGGTCGAGAACTTGCTACATCCTTTCGGTTTTCTTCTAGCATAAGGCTCATCCTTTGGGAAGGTCTCAAATTGCCTCCCTTTCTCGACCAACTTTAATCTAAATTGCGTCAAGCTGTCAATATCTCCCTTCCCAATTAACTCTGCCACGATATCATTTCTGGGTTGCGTTGAAATTTTCTTAATCAGAGCTTCAATTTTATCCGACATTTCAGAACTGTTTTGTAGTTCAAAATTGCAGGCCTACTTAAGCGTTCCTGGAGACCAGTCCACATAAGAATCGAACAGTACTGTAAGAACTCAAATTCACGTTGATTTTGAAGTTATCCTCTTGAAAAGTGCTAAAAATTTTCTTAAAACAGTTCAGATTTCTTGAGCTTAAAAAATAACATCCACCATCTTGATTAGTTACGATAATCGGCTTACAAATAATCGGCCTCAGTAATCGGCAATTTTCCTTATCGGCTCATCCCTATTTTATTGCAGGGGACACTATTTGCCTTATATTTTTTCCTAATCTATCCAACATTGGAAGGTGGTATAAAACTGATTAAATTGTAATTATGCATGGTGTTTCATTAGTTTTTGCCAGGATTGTGCTGGGTGAGCTTCCCAGTTAGGCAGGGTAGAAATGTCTCTTCCTGTGATTGCATAAACAATTAGGCCCTTAGTTCAAGATTATTCCTTACGATCCTATAGCATGGACAAGTTTAATCTAACAAAAGTACCTGTAATGTTTATATATTGCTTCTCTTTAGAGAGAATGCAGAAAGAATATAGGGAAGGAATTGCTAAAGATGACATCCAACCAGGAGGTACAGTATGCTGACCAGGGCATGACATTTAATGTTTTTAGCAAACATCAAGAGCGATATCAGGCTTTGTATTGACTTAAGTTTATAGATTCACCCTACTTCCTTGTCAATAAAGATTAAAGGCCAAGTTAAAACTTTAAATTTGGGGTTTCATTGTTGACCACAGCATAATCTGTAAGAGAAAACTTTAAGATAAATTCTTCTTAATTTCTTTCTCCTGTATGAAGGTCGTAAGGAAACATTGTTGAGAAGTGTTATTACATTTTCTCTTTGGGTTGTGGCTGTTGTGAAATCCAGCAAATTAGCTTCATATAAAATGTAGTGAATCATTCTGTTTTTTGTTTTAAAAGACAGTATGAGATTGTAGGAGTCCTAGGGCCTTCGGGTGACTGCCCATGACTCCGTGAATTTCCATATTTTTGAGATTAATCTGATCAACAATTATTTTTGTGACAATGTGGCAAAATAGTGTGTAAAGCAATTTTGCCCGTTTTGCCTGTCAAAATGAAATAATGTCTTTTATGTACATAACCTTTCTATCTTGATCTCTCAAGTAGTGTCCATTATTCTTGCATATCTTTAAGTACCAGGTGACCTTTAGTTTCAATATTAGTAACCTAAAAAAGTCTAATGACATTGCAGGGATGAAAGTCTGGTCTGATCCATTCAAGAAGGAATAATACTAAAGATTTTTGCATGTTTTGAAAATGGACTTGATGCTAGTACAAGAAAGGCTACTGATGTGCAACATTAAATTGTTCTGTGCAACACTCTATGGATATCAAGGGATGATAGGACCAAGCGTTTTGCATGCATGAATGCTGTAAATCCTCTATCAAGATTTGCTGCTTAAATAACCCCCTCTAATAAGCCACCCTTTTTAAAGTAGGAATCAGCCAATCAGGGATGCATATCATCCTGGCACTTTTGTTTATTACCGTTTTTTTTCAAAAGGAGACTGAATTGCGTTGCTGGCCAATAGCAGGGGGCATCCTAGACTTGCTCCAAGTCTCTCTTTCATTGTCATATAGTATCGATCCACTACAGTGTAAATTACAAGAGAAATATTGAATTACAAAACTCAATAGACCTTTCCGGTAATTACGGCACAACTACACTGTTTTCAACTTAGGACCACTTTAAATGGAATAGATTTCAAGTTCGTTTCTCACGGGCTATGGTCAGAGAAGCAGAACATCCTTCGTCGACACATGCATAAAAAAGAATTTTGGATTTTGACTATTAAATATGGAAATAAGCTTGGGACCATGGCCCCTCTAGCCTCGTTTTCGTGTTTAAGCTTATTTCCACATTTATTGGTCAAAATCCAAAATTATTTTTTTATGCATGTGTTGAAGAAGGAGTTCTGCTCCTCTGTCGGCTCTGACCATAGCCCGTGAGAAACTAATTAATTAGAACTACCGTGTTACATTGAAGGCGATTTAGATTTGTAATTAAATCTTACGGCTTATAATCAAATGCAGCACGAAATAGTGGGAAACTGTTGTTTATATTGCTTTGTTTCATTATTTCATAAAAAAATGTTTCAAAATCGGTCATAAAAAGGTTTGATCGGACACATAGGCGTACCGGGCGGGGGGGGGGGCGGTAGCCCCCCAGTTTTTTGGGCAGTTGGGCAATATTTGATCAACAGTCGGGCAATTTTGGTTTGTACTAAAAATAAATGGGACAAATTCTGTGAATTTAGTCGAAAATTCAGTCAATTTTGTGTTGTTTGGAAAATTTGTGTGATGTTTCGAAAAATTTTGGTATGTCCGGAAAAATTTTTTTACCCCTAAAATGGTACACTGACCGAAATTTTTTTGGCGACGGGGGGGGGGGTGTGAGGTCGCCGAAATAATTTTTCCGGAAAAAATTTTTTAGGTACTAGTCGGGCATAATCCCGAAAAGTCGGGCAAATTTCTTTCCGCCCCCCTAATTTTTCCTTCCGGTACGCCCATGATCGGACGAAAGGTCAAATGTGACCCAACAATGCGGTGACCGACACTAATTTGCAGTTCTGGTGGGCGTGCGTATGTATAGAATGGGGGCTTGGAAGTTGTGGTTTTGCAGTTCTACGAACAAGTAGAGACATAATTGTGCTTCTCACCTCACGCATAGAGGAAGACCTTTAGCGCTTGTCAGTTTTGACTTTCAGGACACAACGTTCAATACAAGCACGAATACAAGCAGTGAATATGACATTTTATTTGTAAGATTAGTCACATAAATAAGAGAAAGTATTTAACGGTATAGTTAGTAAATATATATTATACACAATTATAGTGAAATTAGCCTTTCTCACGAAGGCTAAAATACGCCATTTTTGGGAATTGGGGTATTGTCTGCCCTTGTGAATGATTCTAGACAATTCAAACTACGTGAAAAGCGACTTTTAAAAGTTGTAACTGTAAATTGTTCGTGTTGCGGAGACTCTCAAACGTGGGAGAGGCAGTACACCCAAAATGGCGGAAAAATCGGCCGGGAGAAAGGCTAATTATAGAAATGAGCAAAATTTTCAACCGATTGATTTATATGTCCACGTCTTGTTTCAGAGATAATTCTTGATGTTAATAATATAATTATTGACTGAATTTCATCGTCTTTAATACAGATGTGTAAAATTACTTTGCAGTAAAATAAACTAGTTTTGTATCATTCTTGTGTGCTGTTAATACCACGTATTAATTAGTACTGGTTCACACTATTTGCAAGAGTTGATAGAAAGAAGAGTTTACTAGCTTCTTCTGATGAACAGTGGCGGACACTTGTATATGATCACCTGTTGCTGGACATCGTAATTCTTTAAGGGGGGTTATCCCACTAATGGACGCTAATGCTGGTACTGCACCTGCCTCGTCGCTTCAGTTGGGAATAGAGATCAGTGGAAAAACAATGGGAGCGCGGTGCTTAATGGGAATGCGATAGAATCTCAAATCAGCCCTGCTCAAATTAACGCGACCGCGCGTACGAATGAGGGACTGTGGAAGAGTCAGGTACTGCACCACAAGGTATAGGAACTACTTAATTAATTCGAAGGCCTAATATTAAAAGGATGACAATCCTTTTCTCTGCGATAGCAGCAGAGAATGATCTGGAATGACAAATACGTATACGGGCGTCTATAGATCCAATCCACCATTACTGCAATGAGTAATACTGGACACTGCCACGTAAAACAGGTAGGCAATTTGTCTGAGCATGCGCGCAGAAAATCAATATGGCGACATATATCAGGAGTGTTTCGAGGATTTATCTGGTTTTAAAGCTGATAAAACAACATTTTAATGAACGAAAACTTTGTAATATTTCGTGGAAAACATTAAGCTGTGCATTCCAAAGGTTTTAAATAAAAAATAAGTACTTTTGCTTTATTTTATTGCTTTTTATGCCTTGAAAACAGGCAAGCTCATATTTTTTGAAAAAATTTTATCTAATATTTTACCCATTATTTGTTTAATCTGAACAAAAATAGATAGAACACTTGGCTATATAAGCTATAAAGGTATTGTTAGCTGATCTGAAAGATTTCAGTATTCCAGGTACACATTTTAACAAAGAATAAAATTAAAATATATGCATATCAAAAACAATGGTTTTTATTAGAACAACACAGAATAAGTTGTTATTTTCTATTTTTACATAAAACAAGTTTGAAAACAGGATCTAGTCCTCCAGCTTGATGTCATATTCCATTTACTTGGATATTTGAATAAAGGAATGTGAAATAATAATTGAAACTTGTCCAAAATTTGATACCAACACTGGAATGAACAGATACTATCACCTAAAAATAAAAGAACAGAACTTAAATTTATCATATAATGCTATGAAAAAATCTTAGATACTACAAGCATATAGTGAACACAACTCTTTAACAAATTCACTAAAATAAGTTAAGTTATGCTACGATAAGAGGATGGCAATATATGACAACACCAAATGTTACCATCTTCAGTGTCCAAAAAAAGTGCCGCGCACATTTTTCGTGGTCGCATAACTGGCATTGCCACAAACCCAGGTGAAAAAGCAATTAGAAAAACCTGGTTTTGGGTGATGAGCATAGTCAAATTCTTGACTTATTCAATTTTCTAAGTTTTTCCAGGTAAACAGGTTCAACATTGAAATAAGCCCCATTCGGGACCTCATAGGGTCCAAAATATTGTGTATGGACCAGATTTTTTTCAATTTTCTGTGATTTACATAACACTAGTTATAATTTAAGGGTCAACCAGTATTGTTCAAGACATATTTTCCTTCCAGAACACCATTTCAAAATACTAACCCAAGCATGTCAAAAATAGTGTACATTTACAAGGGCAATTTCAACCCTCTGGCACATTTTTCCTATGAATGATTTTAATTCTAATATAAAGACTATAGATAAAACTTTGATTTAAAGCTGGTTTCAAGTGATGAGCATACCCTAAATTTTAAGCTATACCTCAAAGAAGATAGGTAATTTCAACATAAACATTGAAATATAGGTATACTGACAGCTCTGTCACACGTGTAGTTTGACATTAGCAAACCTTCTGAAACATTTTAATGAAAGTATAATTCACAAAGTTCACATTTTCACTTACTTCTTAACATCTGTTTTAATCCAACTAGCTCTGTAGGCACCAGCAAAATTTAGTGTTGATGTAAATAT